CATGTAGTTTCTGAAAACATTTGTGGAAATATATGGATATCTTATGATATATCCTTCTATCGGGTTTCATGTCTAAATTTTCCCTCAACTCTGATGGGTCTATGTTGATATTGCGTAGGTGTTTTCCTGGGGAATGGATACAATAAGGGCTAGGGAAAATCCATTTTAGACGCAGTGAATTACAGCAGGTAAATATGTTGTCCTTTCTCTGGGGTCCAACAGATTCATTCAGTTCCATGTAGGTTTCTGAAAACATTTGTGGAAATATATGGATATCTTATGATATATCCTTCTATCGGGTTTCATGTCAAATTTTCCCTCAACTCTGATGGGTCTATGTTGATATTGCGTAGGTGTTTTCCTGGGGAATGGATACAATAAGGGCTAGGGAAATCCATTTTAGACGCAGTGAATTACAGCAGGTAAACATGTTGTCCTTTCTCTGGGGTCCAACAGATTCATTCAGTTCCATGTAGGTTTCTGAAAACATTTGTGGAAATATATGGATATCTTATGATATATCCTTCTATCGGGTTTCATGTCAAATTTTCCCTCAACTCTGATGGGTCTATGTTGATATTGCGTAGGTGTTTTCCTGGGAAAGGATGCAATAAGGGCTAGGGAAATCCATTTTAGACGCAGTGAATTACAGCAGGTAAATATGTTGTCCTTTCTCTGGGGTCCAACAGATTCATTCAGTTCCATGTAGGTTTCTGAAAACATGTGTGGAAATATATGGATATCTTATGATATATCCTTCTATCGGGTTTCATGTCAAATTTTCCCTCAACTCTGATGGGTCTATGTTGATATTGCGTAGGTGTTTTCCTGGGGAATGGATACAATAAGGGCTAGGGAAATTCATTTTAGACGCAGTGAATTACAGCAGGTAAACATGTTGTCCTTTCTCTGGGGTCCAACAGATTCATTCAGTTCCATGTAGGTTTCTGAAAACATTTGTGGAAATATATGGATATCTTATGATATATCCTTCTATCGGGTTTCATGTCAAATTTTCCCTCAACTCTGTCTGATGGGTCTGTGTTGATATTGCGTAGGTGTTTTCCTGGAAAAGGGTGCAATAAGGGCTAGGGAAATCCATTTTTGACGCAGTGAATTCCATCAGGTAAGTGAAATAGTTGTGATGACGTGGATTAAAGTAGAGTAGACGTCCCTGCTGCATGTTTGGGCATGTCGCAGCTAGAACCAGGTATTTGACTCATTTGACCCTTCCGAATTCAATCTGAAGCTTTGGAGATTTGGCTGGAAAATCTCCCTGTCCTTCACTGCGAAGGTCCAACATGATCCCATCCAGAGGGTGCGAAGGTCTAACATGATCCCAAAAGGCTAAGGTCTAACATGGTGTTACCAGTCCTTACTTATATATAGTCAAAAGGTCTTAAGTGATCCCGGGCCAAGGTCTAAACTGATCAAAAAACCATTCTAGACCTTGAATTTTTGGACCTGTAGGCAGACCATTCCAGACCCTCTTGTACCTGAGGGTATGGGAAAACCATAGGAAAACCATAGGAGAATGGAGGTTGACCCTCTGGTAAACTGTCACATAACTATGGAAAGATCCACCATTTTTAATGGGAAAACTCCCTATTTCTATGGCCATTTTCAATAGCTATGTTAAATTACCAAAGGGTAATCATTGTGTTTACTTCTTGTGATTATCATTCTTCTCGCTACTATGTGTATGTGTTTATATTGTCATTAACCAACCTGAAACAAACGGAGATTTTTGGGGCGCGTGCCGTTGCCATTCGTTACCAACATCTATGATGATGGCATCCTGAGGTTATACGGTAACGCCAGCTCTAGGTACAGCTCCAGGGTCGAAAATCTGGATGCTTGAGACTGAACTTATTGGAGCCATACCCACATCATTCATATCCATACATACTGTAATATACTGGTGCCACAAAATTGCTCTATTAAATTATGCTTATAATTTTATAATATTGCAAAGACATGAAATACGGATACATTACGGGTGGCAAGTCGATTCAGCACGTCAAAAAATTGCCTTTGCAATCCCAAAGGCTAAGATCTTTCTGCCAAGTTGCAGCAGTGGCCGGCAACAAGGACGTCAATGTCAACGACACAACGTACTGCGGCCCAAACACACTGGGAGTTGACCAGCCAAAAGATCTACCCCCTGGTAAAGTAATATAGACCCTGAAAATCACCATTGTTTCATGGACATGAATCTTCCACCCGTATCTGCCAGGGTCTATGTTAACATACCAGAGGGTAACTACCAATCTACCAAAATGGTGATTTTACTGGTGATTTTACCCTAAATATGGATTTGATCTAACTGACCGAACCACTCAAAAATGGAGTTGGGCATGTCTGAGTTATGGGGTTTATCCCCCCAAAAAAAAGAAATACCATCTGGTTATTTAACATAGCCATGGAAAATCACCATTTTTAATAGGTAATAATAGGTAAACCATCTATTTCTATGGGCCATCTATACCATGGCTATGTTAGTCATAACCAGAGGGTAATTTGATCATCGAAAATGATGATCAACCACTGGATTTAGAGGTATCCTGTCTTGAAACAAAGACATATCAGTGAATCCATTCGCGCAAGGTCAATGGGAATTTCAGGATCCTAAAATGGAGGTACTGTACCATTTTTCAGGCCATATTTTGTGGGGATATTCCCTTACATAGGCCTTACATAGGCCTTATATATGGTAGGTACCTCCAATTTAGGTTCCTGAAATGGCCATTGACAAGGCGCCCTGAATGGCACAACAAACCTGGAGTATGGCCTGAGGCCACCAGAAAAAAACATCTTAAGCTGATTAGAATTCGAATGCGTCCCGATTTTTGAAGCAACAGATTCATATGATTCAGAAGTACTACCATCTGGTTATGACATTCACAGTTTGCCATGGAAATCTACCACCATTTTTTAAAGAACGGTAAACCATCTATTTCGATTAGGGACATCTATACCATGGCAAACTGTGAATGTCATAACCAGAGGCATGTCATTTAGGATTCCTCGCCAGCACAGCCAGGTCGCGATTCGAGCACAGCACTTTGTGGAAATGATGAATCGCTCATGGAAGAAGAAAGAAAATATCAGGGCATATTTTTGCCCCAATGTTTTCACCCTTTATAGCAACTAACCCATTGACCTGATCACATACCCACTGGTAAACTAACATAGCTATTGAAAATCACAATTTTCAATGGGAAAACTCACTATAAATGGCAATGTTCAATAGCTATGTTTGTTTATAAACAGCTCTATGAGGGTAGGTTTAACCAGCTCTCTGCTTGCAACATGGCAAGCACCTTGCATACCCGTTTCAATATTTTCAATGATCGCTTAGGTGAGCCAGGCCTCCCATAAGTCCTCCCATATCCTATGGCAAAGATATACTATAGCAAGCTCCAAAACAAAGATGCCCAAAAGTTGAAAGTCTGGAAATTACAGGGGGGAAATAATCTAATTTACCATATCATGTTAGCAAAGCAATAGGATCCACCATCCCCAAGTGTTTGCAATTTTTATGGGTTGGAATCCAACCATCAATTTATATGGGTGGTTTATTATTATTGCTTTACGCATATTCTACATACACATAAATAAACACATAAGTAACCACATAAGTAAATATAAATAAATATGTAAACACGCAAATTTAATAATAAAAATAATAATAATAATAATGATAATAATAATAATAATATATATACATATATATTAATAATATAATATATATATAATGTTACTACCATCCTGGTTTCACACTTTTTCATCCTTTTGGAGCTATCTCCCGCCTCTTTGTTCAGTCCCATGGCAGGCCGTCCAGCCGCCTGGCCCTGGGAAACTCTGTGGTTTTAAGGGAAACTGAGCTGGGATATATTGAGCGTAGCAAAGGGTATATTATAGCATAGTCATATAGATATAGATACAGATAGATACAGATAGATAGATATGATATATATATATACATATTATTAACACACAGAAAGGATTAAACACGCAGTGAATTATCATCCCAAAATAGAGGTATACCCAAAAATGAAGGTTTTTCAAAACATTGGGGATGGTTGAACTTGTAACAAAATATGCGTGTTTACATGTTTTTTGTTAACCAAATGACATGACGAAAACTGTTAGTAGGATGTTGATGTTCTGTGAGCTCTCCCCTGCCGGGGATGATCCGATCATCGATCCGCACCCAAGCTGGTCATTCATAGCTAGCTGGCTATGAATAGGGCCATATTTTTTCAGTAGTTTTTGTTTGGTGAAATTACTGGTAAATTCTGAGGATCAAAGAGATCAAAGATACGTAGCTGAACTTGACATCACTTTTTGGCTCCAGTCATTTTCTGAACATCATGGGGGAGAACTGTGAGGTGGATCTTGGCACGCGCTCAATTTTTTCCTCTGAAAAGCCATCGTCTCTGAAAATCTCAGCCAGGCGCCATTCCCTCGTACAGTACCATGTTTGCGAAATATATCCCATATGCTCCATGTATATCCATGGTGCTGGTATATTTACCTACATAACTGGGTGATTTTGTCCGGGCAAATGATGGTAACTATTCCAGCACCATGAAGCATCTGGGTATGGCGCCATGGAATACTTTAAATATCGCAACGAGTAGCCGAGTAGCCACCGCAACACAGCGGATCTGTGTGCAGCTTCACGATCCAAATCGTCACTTATCCCAATATCGCAACGTCGGTGGCAAAGGCTGTCCAAATTAAACATCTTGAAGCAATGGCTGCAATCTGACCGGCTGGCTCCACCCCCGTAGCTGAGTATTGCATGCCTCAGGCCTCACCTTACAAGTAGCACTTAGTTCCACCTTTGGGGTGCTCACCGAACAAAGGGAGCTATAAACATCTGTGAACCAGAATCAACCCCTCTTATTGGCCTGTTGAGACACCAATTCTTGTTGTAGCTGTTGAGACACCAATTCTTGGGGTATACCACTACCTCGTTTCTGGAGAAACCCCTTTTTTGTAACCGGGCTGTCAGCTCGCAGCTGGATTGCAGCTATTTCACCAGCTCATTGCCTGGGTGCAGTTCTGAATGGGACTGACCGCCGGGATCGGCCGTGTTTGTTCATCGAACCTCCATTCAGTGAAATTCATGGTATGGTGGCCAAGCTGGCGCCAAATCGAATACCTTGATGCCTTGATGTTTGAAGGATGTTTGAAAGCTTCTCGATGAAACAAAGCCCCAAACATCATTTTTGAAGGTTAGGGTTACAGTATCAAAATATATTAAAATCACTATCCAAAAAGGATGGTTACGACTATTGGATTTCCACACACACTCTCTCTCTCTCTCTCTATCTCTCTCTCTCTCAATCCACTGTATGTGTTTGTTTTTGTGCTTGCCCCATGATTTATTATCTACAGCTACCTTCCAATACCTAACTGGCCTGCTGTAGAATCATGTTGATGGTATTGATGGTTTCATTATCAATCTTTCCCACAATGTTGGACCGTTCTGAGGCGGCAAAGAAAAATACGTCCAATATCGTCCAATTTATTCTTTCTGCGAAGGCACATTTCAGTCGGTTCAATCTGCGATATGTTCAGAGCATTGGTCTAAATTCTGATTTTTGGAGGGCCCCTCCCAAAAGGTTTGTCTGAAAATAGAGTACCAAACACCTCAGGCTTATATATCATCAAACAGTATTTATATATATATATGTATTGTAGGTAATTATCCTCCAGTGTAACTAACATGGATGTGATGTTCACCATTTGTAGATCCTTGTCCTAGGGAAACCATGGGTTTTCCACATCTATGTTAGTATACCCCAGGGTAGTGGTAATATCAACACTTGTATATGCATATATATATATATATACATATATCCAGAAAAGTATATATCCATCAGTTTCGACATATTTATACATTTACGCACATACATGTTTTATATATATAATGGATTATTAATCTAATAATATATATATATACATATATATATACATATATATATACATATATATATATACATACATAATATATATATAACCCCTATTAATATATGATAGGCAACTCTAAAGGCCACACCGAGCATCGGAGCCACAACGCCACACCGCCCCCAGCGCCGCGGGCGGCGGCGATCTGATCGTCCACGGCCACGAAATTGAAGGCGGGCTGCTTCTTGTAGGGCGTCTGCCGTGCTGATGTGGTTTATATATGGTTCTATATGGTTTATATGGTTTATAGTATTATATAGTATGATTATATGGTTTATATGTATACTGTATGCTTAATATACGGTTTATATATGGTTTATATATGGTTTATATGGTTTATATGTATTATATAGTATGATTATATGGTTTATATGTATACTGTATGGTTAATAATACAATATAATATGAGGTCTATATATAATATTTGGATACTATTTGGTTACTATATGGCTTATATCTATACTTAATCATATATACTATAAACTAAATGGTTAATATATAGTAATAATACTATTTAACAGTTATAGTCCATAGTAAAAAATGGATAAAATATGGTTAATACTATATAGTAACGCCATAGTTTAGGTATGTTTAGATAAGATATGATTAATATTTTAGTAATAGATGGTAAATATATGGTTACTGTTTTTTTTGCGTCCGGGCGTCCAGGGGGTTTGCCCGAGATGAAACAACATGTACAAGTCAACGCAGCAAATTACTGGACATATATATATATATAGTACTGGTAATTCCATAGAGAAATAATATATAGTAATTCCATCGTGTGGGCGATGGTCAACATACTATATATATATATAGAAATGATATGTGGTTCTGATAAGGTGATATTCCGTGGGTTAATGAATGGAACCATAGAAAGCAGGACACATTACTGGGATCCATTAGGGCAATCATCCGCAAATGGGGATACATCATGGGGATATTATGATGTATATCATTTATGTGCATGTGGATATATATATATATATGTATGCAATATTTATACATATAACTTTAAAAAATGCATAAGTAACTAAATAAATAAATAAACAAATAAAAATATACATATTTACATATACATACATATAAATATATATATATATACAAATGTACATATATCTATATATAATTATATATATGTGCATCGATGTATATTTATGCAACCAACAATATGGGATCTGTGTCATGGGTAGATCCCCATGGATTGATGAAAAAAAAAAATATCATCCCTGGCTTTGTCCCTGGGCAACTTGAGAAAGATCCCTGGGCACATCTGGCCATAGGAAAACCATAGGAAAACCATCGGAAAATGGAGGTTTACCCAACCTGGTTATGACATTCACAGTTAGCGAACTGGAAAGATCCACCCATTTTTAAGTTCCGTAAACCATCTATTTCTATGGGCCATCTATACCATGGCTATGTTAAATTACCAGAGGGTAACCATATTTTTGTATCATTTCAGCACCGGCTCTTGTGTAGCGGAGTATTCACGAAGTGGTTTTAGCGTCTGACTGAAGTGGTAAGATGACATGCATGAGGTGTGACACCATGATTTTTGTGGGAATATAATGGAGATATATCAAACAATATGGGGAATTTATCAGTCTTCCAAGCATTTTACCAAGGGTATGTCATGGATGGATATGGAATGTATGTAATGTAGATAGATCAAATAGATCTAGATCCTCGATTTGAAATTTTGTTTGTTACCCAGTAAGCATTTAAACTTTACCTACTTCTAGGGGTCAATTGAGTGTTTGTTCAAACAAAGACGGAGACTCAAAATGCCACCCTACTTTCAAGGAAGATCACCGAGTGGCAACGCTTGGCCAGGCATGGCTGGATTATGGCTGTGAGGATCCCCCAACTTCTGCACGAAGCCCAACAAAACTACCAGGTACGTGGTTTCAACCCCTCTGAAAAATATTATATAGTCAGTTGGGATGATGACATTCCCAATATATGGAAAAACATGTTCCAAACCACCAACCAGTATAATGATTTACCAAATGGAAAACAATCCCCAATTGGGCTTGCTCATTGGTCATAGTCATACTGATATACCCCTATATGGGATGATTTTGAACGACCCCTTAGTGGGTACTGGGTTGGTTTGTGGCATTGGGTATACCAAACTACGTGGACACATTGGTCCCAGTATGTCCCAGTCAGATTTTCCTGGTTCTATTTTGTTCCATTATGTTGGACATTGTTGGACTATGTTTGCTGATGAAATCCCAATCTACTAACCTCAAGTGGATGAAGTCAGACACATTTCTGCTGCTGATGCCATATTTTCATATATTTTCCATCCTTTGGAGCCACATAAAACATAACATATGTATATATATAGACATGCGTCTGGGTAAATTATAATAATTCACTAACCTGAAATAAGGCTATCTTGGGGATGGTTCCCCTAACTAACCATGATTATAGTGAGGTCGCAGTGAGGTCGTTATAATTTACCCAGATGTGTGTAGTGTATACTGTCCACCACGTTTAAGTCTGATAGCTTTTGGTTGGCCTTAAACCCTGGATCTGGCTTCGCCCTTAAATATGCCAATATAATATCACTTGATCCCCATCATAGTTGGTATTGTTGGTTTGTAAATCAAAAAATCCCCACCAAAATCCCCTCGAAAAAGGCCGTGAACTCGCCATGAAATCACCAGTTCTATCCATTTCTGGCTGGCAAATCGCCATGGAAATCGCCACTGCATGTCCGGCGGCATTTCCGGCGTCCCAGGGACGGAGCTCTTCATGCCAGCCATACTGCGCAGCCAGTCCGGCAAGTCGAGGCTGAAGCCCGCGACCTTGAGCTCCTGACTTTTTTGCTCGAAAAGAACAGGAACATTTGGATCCCAGATGCTCCATGGATCTCCATGGTGCTGGAATGTTTGACAAAAATTTGCCCGAACAAAATCACCCAGTTTTGTAGGTAAATATACCATACATGGAGCATATGAGGATCAAAACCTGCGATCTTTTCTATCAAAAAAATGTATTTCGATATGTTTCGATATGAACATGTGGCTTTTTTTCTCCTGGGGCTTCCAACGGCTTGCCCTAGAACTATATAGTTAACATTATTTTTCGAATTACAAAAAAATATCAAACAACGATGTTGGGATATGTTCATATCAGGGTTCCCGCCATTACTCCACAATAAAGGGGTGGTGATCACATTGTTTGGAATTGATTCAAGACTGCCCAATTGACGCGATCAAACATAAACGTCTATCAACTGTTAATTCCAAGGATTTGTGCAAGATTTTTGTTACTGCCAATGGGGCTCCAGTCAATGCTCTTGGCCCCGCTCCTCGAAATCAAATTCCAATCGCCTCTGATCCTCGATCCAGCGGAAGCTGCCCTCAAATTCCAAGGAGATGGGGCCCAAGTATACCTGGCTGCCAGAAATCGGCTTGGTTGGAGGTACCAAATCATTCCAAAACTAGACACTTGGGGTGAATTTTTCCACCAGCCCCAAACACTAACACCTTGGGATTTTTCAATGTCATAGTCTGACTGGACATGCTTTCGGATATTGCAGCTGCACAAATGGGTCATGAAGAAAGCCAAACAAACCAAACAATCAAATTCTGATTGGTCCACGTGATAGTGATTGATGTCTTCGCCCCTATCCGGCCATCCTGGGGACGGCGATTCCAAACCGAGTTGATCCCGCCATCCTCCCTGCAGTGCCGGGAGGCTCCGTTGCGGATGAATTTCTTCTCCATATCGAAGCGCTGCACGGCAGTAATGGGGACGTAGTTAATTCGGCCCACCTCCTGAGGAGACTTTGGAGATGGCCCATGTCATTGAAATGTGTGGAAGTTCGCATCCCACGGAAACTTTTGGATGGTATATGATGGTATATAGTGCTTACCAACAGCCGGCATCTGATCTTGAATGCTATCATTAATATCCTATCTATAATTCAGGCATAGCCGAAGAATCCCAAATGGATGGATCCTGCGGATGCCAAAGATGGCAACAGGTGGAAGTGAGGAAGTGATGAATCCAATTTAATCAAGAACGCTGTAGGCTATTCAGTTGAGGTGATCTACTCTAAGATGATGCAGCGAAAATTCAATGTTCAAACCAGTGCTCACAAGGATGGCACTTGACCAATCCACAGCAGTGTACATGGATGAGTGATGCAGCTACAACTTGCACTCATTCACACATATGGGGATGGGTCAAAATTTAAGCCCTATGGGAGCACATTTTTTAGTATATGTTTAGTATTAACATGTATTAAAAATCGAATTATTGGGGTACCAATGTTGACCTACACCATCGATCCGTCTATACCCATATAACTAACAGATATGTCACCCCAGGATTGATAAAAAGGACAGAGCTTGATTAGTCTTGAGGAGAGATGCGGAGATCATTTGCTTCCACAGCACGGATTTTTGTTTGCAAACTTCTTGGGTGACAAAAAATCTATCATCCATATCTTAGACTGATCAATGACACCCAATTCTCCACTTATAAGCTTACCTTACCCCTACACACACTAGATGTATCACACACGATAAGAACTGGATCATCAGAGTGATCCCTTGGGAACAGAATCCCATTTACTGGTGCTTAATTAGTAGGGAATTTTCGGGAATGATCCATATAACCATAATAACTATCAATAATCATCCCAGCAACCCCAGCAACCCATCCAGCAACCCTACTCAATGGGAATTCCAGGATCCTAAAATGGAGGTACGTTAGTACCATATGTTTGGCCATATTTTGGGTGTATATCCCCTTACATAGCCCTTAATTACATAGGCCTTATATATGGTAGGTACCCTCTGGTAAACTAACATAGCTATGGAAAATCACAATTTTTCATGGGAAAACTCACTATAAATTGCCATTTTCAATAGCTTTTTGTATGTTTACCAGAGGCTACCTCCAATGAATCGGTTCCTGGAATGGCCATTGACCTACTAAGCACCAATACCCTCTGGTAATTTAACGTAGCTATTGAAAATTGCCATAGAAAGAGTTGATTTACCCATTAAGACTGGTGATTTTCTATAGCTATGTTAGTTCACCAGAGGGTAAACCTCCATTTTCCTATGGTTTTCCTCTGGTTTTCCCATTAAAACCTCCATTTTCCCATGGTTTTCCTATGGTTTTCCCATTAAAACCTCCATTTTCCGATGGTTTTCCTATGGTTTCCCTATGTTTTTGGTCCAGTCACATCTTCAGTTTTCTTGGTGCCAGTGGTGTAGATCAACCTCCACTCTCCCGTGAGGTACTTGGAGAATCCCGAGTCGCCGCTACGATTCCTGGGGCCCAGGAAATCCCGGGAAGGATCAGCCGATAATTATGATATGGCTATGGGTCAAAACCCTGGTACCTAGTAAACCTCAAAATAGCTGGTAAATAGTTGTTCATCCCACTAAAATTGATAGTAATAGGTTTTGACCCATTCCCATATATTAGGATGTTATCAAACACTATTGGATGAATCATAATAATATATTAATATATTATGATGGTTTAATCAACTAAAAAAACAAATTGTTCAAACAATCAACCACTTTTGTTGGATGGTGCGCTTGTTTTGCAGTTTTCAGGCGGGCCTACATGTCTGGAAAATGCAAGAAAGTGACCTGACATTTAATAGGCAGTCAAGAAGCACACGAATGTAGCACCCCTACAGGATGGTGCCCCCCAGTTATAAGTTGGTTTATAAACCCCATGAACTATAGTTTTATCTACCATAAACCATAGTTACGGGAGTTATAAACCAACTTAGCTAACTATGGGGCACCACCTTGTAGTACATTACTGCAAAAATACTAGTCACGCGCTGCTCCTAGACTTCAATTGCTTTGAGACCACTGCACGTCAATGCATCTGGATAAATTACAGTACACAAATTCCCCAACCTGAAATGTTGGCTACTTTGGGATAATTACCCCAATCCTAACAACCATTCCAGTGACGTCGGAGTGAGCTCGTTTTATTTTATCATATTTTATCCAGATATATGTATATATATATCAGATATATCACCATTGTAATAAATCATATCCTATCTGGCCTGTGTTTAACATAGTCAAATAGTCAAGTGCTATTTGTGGAATTTTTGTACCAATTCAATAGTCAAATCCTTTTACCATCAAGAGAAACAATCCACATAGTCAAATCACTCTATCAGAATAGTAGATCGGATCTTCTGGTCCAGTCAAATCATTCCTTCGATTTGTTCAATTAGAGCAATGATAGCAAATAATGCGTTTTGGAATTCCAAGGGCCAATCAAATGGTCAAATGGCGACAGATGGCGACAGATCCAATGTTCGAGTTCTTTGCATCGTAGACGTTTAGAATAACAAACATGATCAAACATGACTGCCTTAAAGATGGCTAAACATCAGCATATGACAGCATATGCAAGCCAAGGGCACACAAGATATCTATCAACCCCCCCTTCATTCATGCATTCATTCAAGACATACCACTACTATCCTGTTAAAAATGTTGATGCGAAAAGCTGGTTGAGCCCCAGTTTGACAATTCGCATTTATTGCAGTCAACTTTGATGCAAAGTGTTGTTTTTTTTCCAAGATGTCCATTTCTCTTAAAGGGTTTGATTTATGCTGAAGATCTTTGCAAGACATGATTAATGAGTAGATTGACGTTAGATGGACGTTTGGGTACTCTGATGAATTGTATGTTGTGTTTGCGGTTTGACATTGAGCATGTATCTGTATCTCTATATGTATTTATAACTACATACAAACATCCATTCAGGGTCGGCCTACAAGGATGATATGGTGCACATAACAGGTTCATTGATTTCGCAATATTTGTTTTCTTAAATTTGCAGGGGATGTATACAGCAAAATCTACTGTTCAGCAACTCACAGCGACCTAATGATTATCCATGATTATCGTTTTGCAGTTGAACATCATTGCAAATATCATTGCGCAGGCCAAGCAATTCTCGGCACAACATTGTCTCTTTATGAGCCCTCAGATCAGCCACAAATAGTGAAAAAACAAATGTCAATCGAAGAGGTAGATTTTTTCAGAAACTGAAATAGGACACATGCTTAGAGGATTTGAACGCACATCACAAGTACCAATGACATGGGGCCCTTCCTGCAAGCAAAGCGGCCATTCAGAATCAAGAGCGAGAGAGAGAGAGAGAGAGAGATAGAGAGAGACAGATATGCAGGGCAGAAAAAAGTAGCCTTAAACAAATGCAGCAGTTTTTTGACAGTTAATCCCAAGTCAAAATTGAGGGAACCGTCATTGCACTGGTCAAATTCTCTTATAAAACAACCTGTTGATATTGATGTTTACTATGATACCAAAACAAAGAATAGGACGCAAACCAAAAAAATATTTTGTAGAGATGGATCCTGCAGCATATGGCATAGCATTGCTCCCAAGTAGTCAGTAGTCATTCAGGAGAAAAGACAACATGACACAGTGAGAATGTCCCGGCATCAAAATACTTGTCCCCATGAATCACATACAGGAACCGAGACAGGTTAATTTGAAGAAAAAAGCGAAGCTCCTGCTGAGGAAAAATCACTTTAGCAAGCATAGAGTCTGTTGTTCTCCCCTGGCAAAGGTCCAGAACACCCACAATGTTGACCATATCTTAAAAGACCCTGGCAAAATAGTTGATTAGTCCAACTTGTTAGTTGTCATGCATCACAAATTATTGTGAACTATGAGTACTGAATACCAAGATGTTTGCTTTCCATGCCAGCCATTGTTAAGCAGCAGCATTAGATACCCAAATGAATGTCGGATGTTCCAACATCCAAAATCTTGCCTTTCAATGTTTTTGATCCTTAGCCTGCGTTGGTTTGCGAAGTGTTTGTCTGTGTGTTCCTTTATGGGCCTGGCGATGGCCTTGCCCTTGGTGTTCTTGGTCAGACGGGCATGACTTGACACTCTAACAAAACAAGGAATGAACTCACATAATAAAAATTCAACATATTGGCTTGAGGCAAATGACCTTTCAATACAAATTATGGGACGCCTTTCAACCTGTATAACATGATCTGTGAAAAAAAAATCCGACTAGGCTGGCAAAGCCTGGGAGCCCTCCCCACCTTCAGGATGCGATACGTAGAGGCTGGCAAAGGTTGATAGTGCTGTCACTGTCTGAAGCAAACATTCCAAAAAATCCAAAATTCCAAAAATTAGATTGAGCTGCATTTAAGGTAATCACCGTTGGAAGGATAGGGACAAATTGTCCCTATCCTTCCAACACTCAATAGCGCTACCGACCGTTGCCAGCCTACGCATGACTTTCTTAAATGCAGGTTCCAAAAATTCCGACACGCTTAAAAAGGTCCAAAATCCATGGCCCATACTACGGTGAGGATAGGCTGGCAACACTCAATAGCGCTACCGACCGTTGGAAGGATAGGGACAATTTGTCCCTATCCTTCCAACACTCACTATCTTAAACGCAGCTCAATCTTAATTTTTGGAACTTTGGATTTTTTGGAATGTTTGCTTAAGCCAGTGACAGCACTATCAACCTTTGCCAGTCTCTACTTTTTGGATTGTTTCGGCATTATGGCAAAAGTCAATAGCGCTGCCGACTTTTGCTAGCCTCTACTTGTGCATTTTTTGGATTTTTGCAAAGGTCATTAGTGCTACAATTTTTCCAGCCTCTACTTCTTGCAATATTTTAGGATTCTGGCAATGATCAATTTGTCAATGGTGCAATGGTGCTACAGACCTTTGCCAGCCTATTCTTAAGTGTCTTCGCAATGAATTCTTGAAACTCACAGCAACTGGGAAGGGTCCAAAGCGCTCCCGACCTTTGACACTGTCAGGACAAAGAGAAAACAGCTTACCCCATGCTGGGAAAGGTTATTCTCTCAAGAGTAGTTTTTTTTGTTTTCTTCAGAAACTGAGGCTCCATGTTGTTATATATGCCATTTGAAGTTGAAAGACACGTTTGTTGTCATGTTGATTTCTTCCTTTTTCACGTGCAGTACCATTCCACTCCCTTCCGAATACGAAGGCTAAGGGCAAGCCCACTGACCCATGTGATGCACGCGTGCGCACGAGAGAGAGAGAGAGAGAGATATATATATATAAATAATATATATATATAGAATATGCGCATATAATCAATATACATATGTATTGGAATCCGTTGGGGTATTTGCCGTTTTCGCTTTACGATGGCACCCATGGAAAATGTCAGTGAACCTTGGTGCTGTCACAATAATTTGTGATGCCAACCGGAGACATCCCCCATGTATGCAATTTTTGGTATGGGTTGACCAAAATCTAGACCGCTTCCAACCTTGGCTAAGGACGGGATTTATTACAAGTCGTGCTGTGATCTTGAGAATTTTCTGAAAACACGAATGTTGTAGGCAGCAAACGGGCTGAAACTCCCGAACGCTGCATTTTAAGTTTCATAGATATATTGTAATATTTATATAGTTGTTTGAAACCTTCCTCAAACGCTCCAGAACGCTCCCGGCTCCTCTAAAGCAACCTTTTTCTTTAAAGACCCAAAGCATTCTCGAGCGATCCTTACTGACTTTTGTGGACCCTCCTTAAACAGCCCGAAGCATTGCCAAGTGCTCAAAAACATATGTTTCTAAAGGATTCAGCCTTCAAAATTTGAAGGCTACACTAGCATGGACGAAATAAAATAGAAAACACAATTCACTGATGTTTATAAACATCTGTCTTGAGCGAAATCGCGCTATCAAAGGCAGCATAGACAAAAACAACAAAAAGCATATCTAAAACAATCAGGAACATCTGGGATCTTCTCCTGTTTCTATTTCAACCCTGATCTGAACAGAAACAAACAAACTTGTGGTTAAGATTTCAATAGAGCCTATGCCCTGTCGAATGTGTTCAGCCCCTACTTCCTCAACAGAATTTGACGGAATAAGAACCCTCAACGCTTCCTGCACCTACAGAAGGTGGCCTAGCCTTCAAATATCACCTGCAGTTTGTCGCTCGCCAGAAGTGAAAATCGTATATAAATGTTGACGATGCGTGTTTGTGTTTGTTCTGTTATGGTGCAACTTCAGTCAACAGTGCTGATCTAATTGTTATCATTTCCTTTGTAACCTTGAAGTATTTCCTTTGCCTTTATGAAAGGCTTGCAGCGCCATACCCTCTGGAATTGTTTTGCCACTGACGCAGTATCTTGTGCTTTACAGCCACTTTATCCTGCATATTTGATGTCGTTGTTGAAATTTAGGCCGATTGAACTTATTGGTCGTCCCGATGACTGGTAAGTTAAGTAGTACTTTAAATTTTACAGACCAGGACCAGGACATGTACAATATATAGTTCTTTTTTCTTTAGTCGACTGTGTGCGTTGTGTTTGCATACATATCATATGTACTTGTACTGCATGTTTCACGTATGTTGGGTCCATTCTTATAAGGATGCGTCAATGCCCACTCATTTATGGTTCCCACTGCCCACTGACTCATCTACCCATTTTGATATGGCTCACAATTATAAATAAAAGAAACCATTTCCCAAAAATTACAGTGATTATTTGACTTTCTTAAATGCACCCCAGCTATTATTATATTATCTCCATTATATCAAATTGCACCCCCATTGTATCATGTCATGTGCATCCCATTATATCCCTATTTCAGTTGGTTTGTTATATTTATAAAACTACATCTCCTTACACTCCATAAACGCCCCCCCCCATTAAGCCAGATATATCCCCGTTATGTCCATTACCCTCTGGAAATTAACGTAGCGATTGGAAATGGCCATAGAAATAGTTGATTTACCTATTCAACATTGTGATTTTCTATAGCTATGTTAGTTTATCAGAGGATACCCTCTGGTAAACGTTTACATAACTATGGAAAATCACCATGTTTCATGGGAAAACTCACTATAAATGGCCATTTTCAATAGCTTTTTGTATGTTTATCAGAGGATATGACATATATGATATCACTAGTTGAGTTGGCTGAATCCCAAGTTTCTTGGCTTTTTCCAAGACCCGGATCGCTTCAAAGACTTCTTCTGGCGCCGTCCTCAGCGAAATATCCGGCCCTTTTTATCCGGCGCGAGCTCCGGCTTGTTCCAATAAGGATAGCATATGTTGTAGGAAAAAACAGGGCAACTTGGAAAATCAGCAATCAATGGATTGGTTTAAGGGAAAATTTACAGGAAACCATGGTTTTTACCATCAAATTGGTTGGGGTTTCCTGTAAATTTTCCCATCATCCAGTTCTATGAAGCAAGGATTCCTCACAATTATATGCTCTAATATCCTCTATCAGGTTCTATCAGAAGTGATGTTTAATACCTCCACTACAAGGGTATACGGTATATGGCCAATCTTAGATACTCTGCATTTTAATTTAACTGGTGGCAACAGATTATTTTTTTACAGTACTGTAAAGATCTGTAAAGATCTGTAAAGTACCTGCCCAGGGTTTCCCCAATAAAGGTACCATGAACATCCATTATATCTTGGTTACATTCCTGTTGCTGATAGTTCATATCCTCCTGATATCCGACAGAACCATCATGAAATCACCGTTTATGATGTTGTAAAATGGCAAACACACTAGTATTACCATGAAAATATGCCATGATATACTTACACACAAACGGGAGGTGTAAATATATTTGCTGTAAAAAAAATGCACCTGATCACCTCCCATTATCACCACATATCCCCATTGTATAAAATAGTGTTTAAAAAAAAATGGTTTTTCAGAAGTCCTGCACCGGTTTTCATAGGTGGTCTGGCTGCCATTATTTGCAGGCTTTCAGCATGTTTCAACGGGTTAAGCAGCATCCTTTTGGTGGTGCAGGATTTCGCAACCACATCACCGCCCGGTTCGGACTCACGCCATGTGGCTCGCGCGTCAGGGCAGAGGCCGCCAAGCTCCTCAAAGCCGCCTGGGCCAGCGCTGAAGCGTCAAGAAAATTGACCAGTGCTTACCCGGCGAACACGGCTGTAGAAAAGCCCGGAAAGAAGGAAAACTTGCGATTTGACATGATTGTATAACTTGATTCAACGTGATTTAACTTGATTCAGCCATCAAGAAACATGGTTTTCAACATTGAACAATGGATTTAAGAAACACAAAACATCATATAACAACACTTATAGGACATGAGATCGGATGTGTAATTAACCAACAAGATGAGATGTCAGTCAGGAATGGTGATAAAACATATTTAAAACATGTTAGAGAATAATAACATGTTATCAACTGACGGCTTCACATACGTCATAAATACAAATCACATCGCGTAATAATAATTTCGTACCATGCCATGGGAGCCAATTGAAAGCAGCAACATGAAATGTTGCCTAACTATCAAACATAGGGACTTGCCTATACAACATAGTTACTGACAAATACTGAAATAATGGAATCATGGACTTGGGTTTGGACTTGGGTTTGTCCAAAAATGGGGCTTGAAAAAAACAAAACAAATCTGCATAGTCCCGATGATTCACGCGTTCTGGGGGGTTGCCCCATTGACAAAACCAGTCGGATGGGTCGTCTACTTCCTCTTCCAGCTAAAATCATTTGTTGGGCAAGCAAAAAAGTGCATGTGACTGAATGTAAAATTGCACATGCATATGTTTTGTAGCCTCCGTGGGAATGTGGACAATAGGTGCCCAACTTGGGGTTCCCCAGTGTTCAAAAGCATGCTTTACTAGGACCAGTGGCAGAGTCCCCAGTGGTCAACTTCAGATACAAAACTCGGCCTTGTTAATGGCATTTATTTCTTGGAGGATCTTGGAGGTTCCAACTGGGTCATAGGATTGTTTAGGGTGGTCTCCAAGTGTAACCCCAAAAATTGCGTGGCTTAGAAGTTTTGGACATCAGTCCTCCGAATTTCTCCCATCAAAAATCGTGGGCCCATGTTTGACCATCTTTTTCCTTCACTTTACGGGCAGCCAGGGCACTGCACGCCCGTCTTCCGACTCCACGGAGGGGTCCTGGGTTGGACAATGGGCGCATTGAAAACATCCCAGTCACAGGAGCATACCCAAGTTCATAAACCTCAATTGGGAATTGTTTGTATATGTGGTTTATTCTTAGGTTTACCTCATAAATCTTGGAAAAAATAACCGTCAGTGAAACTGGTCAAAATCTCACATGACTCACATGATGGTGGTGATCTCTTGGAAAAAAATACTAATGTGGGTACCTGTGGGTAAAACAATAAAAAACCATCCCCCAAATCACCATAAATAGGTGGTTTAAACCATTCCGGAATGGGAGGTTTATTGTTGTTTTACCCCCATTAATCTACATCTGGGATTAGTCCCATCGTCCCTGGATAGGTTCTCCCCCCCTATGGGCCTCTGCCCGCGCAGCCACCCATCGAGTCTGTTCACGAGGTGGCCGGGTGCCAACACGAGGGGCGAGGAAGGCCCAACCGAGTGGCAGCAGCAGGGCCCTGAGTCAACGCGGTTGATCCATGAATCACTGGTTTCAATGGGTACCCTCTGGTAATTCAACATAGCTATTGAAAATGACCATTTATAGTGGATTTTCCCATGAAAAATTGTGATTTTCCATAGCTATGTTAGTTTACCAGAGGGTAGAACAAAGGATGGAAACTTGGGTTTTTACCCTGAAATATACCGGGTTCCCTGATGTTACTCCCCCATGAACCAAGAATTATGGGAAAGTCATGATATCATCATTCCAGGTGCAGATGGACATTGGCACCTCAGGGTAGCCAGACCCCTCCACAGGGGTTCATGAGGAGGTTTCCATCATTATCTGGCTGAAGCAAAAAGGGGAATTCACAGGCAAACATGGGACAATTAAATTACGATAATTTTGGTTTCTACCTATGCAAGAAATAGTTTCCGGATTTTACAGAAATGGCAAATAAAGACGCCAACGCACTTCACAAATTATGGCTGAAATGTTGGGCTATTCCGAAATGTCTGAAATGATGCCCACATATGCCCACGATTTTGGGGGTGCTCCTGGTGTTTTCTTAGTGAGAAGTTCACCATGAGTTAACCAAGCACTGGAAGGCCTGGATGGCATTACCCAGCTACTTCTTCTCTGAAACAATCTAAGGTCAGTGAGCTCATGCGTTTGTAAGGATGGTGTGCGGAGGCATGATTGTCTTGGTGTTTGCTGACATCCTGCTGAAGGTTTCACTTCTACAGCAGAGAGATGGTAAATCCATCTAATCCCCAAACAAATTAAAAAAACAAAATGGCCACAATAATTTCAGGGATTGGTAAATGTCCCATTTTGGGTATATTGGACATCACCTGAAAAAGTAGCCATAAAAAAGACCATATACCTAATGGTTGGGTGATGTTCAATGGGGTAATAATCCACAATCCATGTAGATTCCTCCCAGTATCACCACCGACTGGGGACCAGGCCAGCACCACCGCGGGTGTCGTTGGTGTCGCGCCATGGCTGGGAGTTGCTTTTGTTGCGTCAGAACAAGCTTAAATGCAGTACGCCCAGGTAGGCCAAGAATGATGTGTTGGCTTTGCCCGTGACGGTTCAACATGTTCTCTTTTCAATCTCTGCCTGGAAATGTGCTCCGCTGTGATGCAGATTTGCTGTATATAAACATGGCATTCTGTGTGCAGACATTTCACCATTGGCCAGGAAACAATCTTTGCCCCACACATCCCGCACATACATACACATACACCAAGGAAACCATGGTTTCATTTACATCCTGCATCTGTGTAAAAATTGACCCAGAAGGCTGCAGCCAATACAACTAGACTCAACTAGACCCCCATGTCATTCCAGACCGGAATTTCAAAGCCTCTCTCTACTGCACAATGATGTCGTCAAATCGTGGAAACAAAGTTGTGGTGGGTTTGGTCATTTGGTATGCCATTTGTGATCATATATACCCTCTGGTTAGTTTAACATAGCCATGGAAAATGGCCCATTTATAGATGGTTTACCTATTAAAATTTGCGATGTTCCATGGCTATGTTAAATAACCAGATGGTATCTACTGGTTGCTAAATGGAGTTGCCCCATGTTATTCCATGTTATTCCTGTATGCATCAACCAAGCAGTGGGAAAAGGACCTCTTGTCAACCAACAAGTTAGATATCGGACATCTATATCCATCACTCTGGAGGCTCTCAATACTTCTGTGCATCACAGGCCTCCGTACATAGAACATTTAACCAACCTGAATTTGGCCAAATTGCATTCTGTCCTGCAGGATCACAATTGAACACCCCGAGAAAGGATGACAAAGGGGAGTGTTTAATTACAAAAGTGCTTTTCAACATGCCCCAACATCAGTGCATTTCCAGGGCAAATGCTGACTTAAGGAAGGGCCCAACCCTGCAGTGCCTTTCGAGACTCCCTTGTTAAAAGAAAGACCATGATGTAGGAGCCTGGCACTGGATTCAATTTTGGCCAACCGCTTGCCAAAGGAACATGTTGTCCGGATCAGATCGGCAGATCGACTTTGGTTTTCCCATTAGATATGGAGGTTTTAGGATGTTTTAGGGGGGTACCCCATTTCATCAGTTGATTGGGATTTTCCATGGGAAATTCTCCATGCAACCAGTAGGCTCCATGGCCTAGGAGCAGCACAATCAATGCCACCTCGGAGCGGAGATGGACGGTCCGCGCTTAAAAAAGCGCGGTTTGCGAGATGATTTGTTCTTGAACATGAGGGAAAACCATAGGAAAACCATAGGAAAACCATAGGAAAACCATAGGAAAACCATAGGAACATGGGAAAACCATAGGAAAACCATAGGAAAACCATAGGAAAACCATAGGAAAACCATAGGAAAATGGAGGTTTACCCAACCTGGTTATGACTAAGAGTTTGCCATGGAAAGATCCACCATTTTTAAGAACGGTAAACCATCTATTTCTATGGGCCATCGAAAAACCATGGCTATGTTAGTCATAACCAGAGGGTATTTGTTATTGAACATGCCCAGATGCTCCATGGTGCTGGAATATTTACCATCATTTGCCCGAACAAAATCACCCAGTTTTGTAGGAAAATATACCAGCACCATGGAGCATATGGGATGAGGGAAATTCCACCATTCAATACTATCATTCGATACTTTTTTTGTTCTTTATGGTGAGCTCTGGATTTTATCCTGGATTGTCAAACCTGAAGCACCCTATGCTTCAGTAGCATCGCTGTAAACCGTGTTCGTTTGTTTCCGAGGGCTCCATGAAAATTGCCAAAGAAAACATCGAGAACAACTCGGGCTCGGGCGATAGTTGCAGCCTTCCTCAGAACGTACTCCAAGGTCGAACGGCCTGCCTGTGATGCACCGGACTTTCTGCATAGCTCCCGACTTGGGATACAAAAAAATCATCAACCACCTGGATAGCCAAAGGTGCCATGATTACGATTTCAAAGGCAAACATGCATGTCTTAGGATTTCAAAGTGTGTAAGCATCAAAAAGTATCGTTTCTTAACGTTGTTGGTATGATCATTGTTCATCATCATCGAAGATAATGTAAACGTCAATAAACATCAAGGTGGATGATAGAGATTCCGATTCCACTTTCATGGGCCCGGGTCATGTAACTCATGCGACATGAAAACTGCAGGCTCTGGTGGTAACAAACATTTACTGCACCGACTGGGTTGCACATACCCAATTATCAATGTGCGTTTTTGTTCTGCGTACAACCACATAAAGACTTAAGCACTTGGGATGATTTATGACAGCCCCCAAATGGTTTATACGTGTTTGTCTCAAAATATGATACCTCCTACACTTCATGTGGTAAGCAGAAGTAAATGTATCATCCCAATAATTTCAATAGTATCCCACGACTTATTCCTTATATATAATCTGAAATCCAATAATTTCAATAAGGAATAAGTGTGATTTATTGTGGAATAGATAAGATATTACTTAACATTCCTTAAGTTCCAAAAAAATATTGTGGACTCCACATTGCTTCAAATCTGTCAAGAAGTTTCAACCACTCCCAGCCCTGGGTGCTCCCGGCATCCCGCCAATTGATGTCGGTTGGGTTAGGCGCTCGAGACACCTTCACCGCGTACCTGGGCAGTTTTTGAGGGAGCCATTGCCATGACGACCTTGACTTTATCTTTGATTAATAATCTTGATTATCTTGATTCTAAAGATGCAAGCTTTGATTATCTGATGTTTATTTTCTTACTATGACTAAAGATCCCATTATGTGTTTAAATTAATGATATATCCCACATTATCCCACTTTATCCCACTTTATCACTCGCCATCACTCACCTCAGCCGTTTCTTTCTGTACCAATTCTGGCCGGCAAAATCCCACCTGAGAGTCGTGGCTGAGTCTCGCACAAGGGCCTGCCTCCCACCTCAGCATTTCCAGCAGTCAGCGAACTGTGAATGTCAATCTCCTATTGTCTTCCTAATATGAAATAGTCCCAAAAAGGGGTCCAATTCATGAGGAAATTCAATATGATAGTAGCCCCGAAAACGATGGCAGAAAGTGGTTCCAGGGTCTTATAAATTGTAATTTTACCTCATTAATTACAGGTTTCCCACCTTTCCATCTACAGTATTTTGATGTAGTTTGGGTTTGCCATATTTAAAAACATGATCAAACCATATTAAACCAGGTTTTTGGTTGCCAGGAGCTGGCTACCGCTGGTGATGGCTGGCAAAATATCCGTGTGTTGGCAACACCTCGGCCTCTGTCTCCATCGATTTTTCACCCAAACCATCCCAAAGCTCCATGATTGCCGGCCAAATCCCCATAGGTTGTTGGTGAAAACATCTTAAATCCACACCCATATGCTCCATGTATGGTATATTTACCTACATTTGGCTGATTTTTAGGGATATGCAACCCATGGTGCTGGTATATTTACCTACAAAACTGGCTGATTTTGTTCGGGCAAATGTTGGTAAATATTCCAGCACCATGGAGCATCTGGGACATGCTTGACGTTCATTTTGTTGTTGGCCATGGTTTTTGTCACGTCTCACTCAGCCATTGAAGCCATTCACCTAGGATCCCAGGCCGGAAATTTGGGCAAGGGCTGCGCATCGCCAAAGAGCAGGCTGCACCTAGGAGAGATCCTGATGAATCACAGTTAATTCATGGCAAGTCAGGATAAATGGTGACCAATCATGAACAAACATCATGAAACATCATCAGTTTTCAAGAGATAGCCGAATCACGACAATCACAAGGGATCCGGCAACACCAGTGCCACAAGCATAAAGATGTTTATGGTTTCAAAGTCACTATAGGGGTGCTTAATATCTGAGGTTTTGCCACAGGCATGTTCATCCTCTGATGGACCATTTTACAAAAAATATGAACCATACTATCCTTCGGAACTAGTATGAAGCCATTGCATGAATACAAGTATATCATGTGGGTAAAACAATGATAAACCATCCCCCAGTCATCACCATAACTATATAGGTGGTATAAACCATTCCCAATTGGGTGGTTTATTGCATTGTTTTACCCACATTACACAGTATATGAATCATGAAATGGACCATTCAGAATTTCTCCCAAAAGGTAGCAGAATCCCAACTCATCCGCTCAGGAGAGCACAAGCCACCTGCCGCCATGTGGCGTCATGTGACACTCGGCAGATACAAGCATGAGGCATTTTTCCCAAGGAAAATCATGATCCAATGTGATTTGGATGAAAACCATCAAAGCTTTGGGAAATATCGTATACAGTAACCCATAGGATCCATGGTGCTGGTATATATGGTAACATGGATCCCATCAATATACCCCCTTTATGTTAGCATATATATATATATATATACCAGCACCATGGATCCTATGGGTGATAGATTGCATCATCCCAAAAACCAAGTACGGTGCCTGAAATGGCCATATTTAATTACATATCTGACCGGTTCTCGCCTGTGCCAGGCGTCTTGTAAAACCAGCGCTGGGCAAAGCCGTGCCATCGCGCCAAGCACCTTGGCGGGCGCAGCATGTCGCAGCTGCTACTTGAAGCAATGGGGTTCCGGCGGCCGGAAAATGATGAATGTATGGTGTATATATATATACTAACATTGGGGGTATATGGATGGTAAATGTTACCATATATAGGATACATGGATCCTATGGGTGTTGAAATATGTTGAATATGTTTGTAGTGATGGTAAACTTGTAAACCTGGTAAGCAACCGGTCTAAGATCTAAAAAAGACCCAGTACCTGAGTGGGGTATTGGCATATTGGCCCTGAAGCCTCAGCCTTTGCAGCCAAGTGACGCCACTTGGTCTGCTTGCTTCCGAAACACCTGAACAAAACTGGCGGTGTTGAGGGGTTTTTGGTTTCATGTTGTGGATAACATGGGGGCGAAGAGAATCGATCTATTATTTAAGATCAATAGAATAACATCGCATAACATATTTATATATATATATATGTATATGTACTGTGGATAAACAACCAGTTGTTATCAGGCAGGTCCTTCATCAAAGGACACGCTGCCCAACCCCTGGGTTC